ATACATATACATATATATATATATATATATATATACATGCCTATAAGTTTTACTGATATAAAAGATGCATAGTACATATTTTATGAACAATAGTAAAATGTACAACATTCTTCACTATAAATTCCATATAGCCAATTTTTTCTCATAGAGTGCTTTTTCTCTTTTTTTTTTTTTTTGGCCAAACACTTACATTGTTAGCCAGCTATGGCTACAACTGACATAAAGGTCTTGGTTAATATTTTTGTTTACATTAAAAAGTAAGGTGAAAGTGAAAGGATGAAGATGTGTGAGAACTTCACGTGTTCTTCAGTGATTTGTCCTTCGTCTTTGCTGAATCAAATGATAGTTTTAAAATGCTAGAAGAGTATTTCCTCAGTGTTGGGTGCTACTCACAATGTAACAGCTAGAATCCTGACATACTTTTAAGCTTAATGTGCATTATTACAATCTTCTCTATCACTTCGTTATGCCTAGACAATCAACAGAATGATATTTCAAATGTTCATTTGTAGTGCATACCAATTTCTGTGGTGTAAATACTCCCACCATGGCCGATTTCCAGCAACCAATGTGATATCACTGAAGTCAGACTCGGGAAGAGATGCTCAATAGCACATCATTACTGTACAGATACAAGAAATCTAAATAACCTCAAGGTCATAGATAGTAGTGAAATGTGGTAAAATAATTAGGAAATAACAATGCTTGAAGATTTACTACTTTTGCTATATATAATTTATGGAATTATAATTTAAATGATTTAAATTTTAATAATGACTGTGTTTAAGAATCAGCTCACAAAATTGTTCCAAAATTAAAAATAAGCTCTCACACATGATGCAGTACAATCTTTGCCCATCACCTTGCTTAACATCATACTATCAGTAGGCAGCAGAGCCAGGATTTGTACCTAGATCTGTCTTATCTTAAAGTTCTAGTCCTTCCACTGGATCATGTTGGTCTGAGTAATAGTGACTCTGATCAATGAAGAGTCAGCAAATGGCCAGGATACTCTAGGAAGGCTAAGAAATGCAAAACACAATTTATGCATTTTAGAAAAGACTCCATCCGAAGTGGATAGAAGTAAGTGGCAGTTAACAGGAAAATGTACTTATGAGGAGTAACTCCTCCTCCACCGAAGCTAAGGAGACAAAACAGATCTAAACAGCATTGTTGCCTTGAGAAACTAGGTTTTGAACTGAAAATAATTGACTTGATACTTAGTGACCAGTACTCATTAGCATATGAATATATCTAGCTGAATAAATCCTATCAATAACTCATTTACTAGAAATTTTCTCTAGTAGCAATCATGCTCATATTCTAAAAGAATAACTGTTCTGGTTCCCTAGTGCCACTCTGACAAGAATATACCACAAATGGGATGGTCTTTACAAACAGGAGTTTATTCTTACAATTTGGAGGCTTGAAGTCCAAGGGCAAAGTGCCAGGCTCT